CATGCTGGATAGATCGTCAGAATCTAGTTGAGCAGTTTCTAGGCAATTATCTAATTTGCCGTAGACTTCATCAGTTGCAAACAATTCTTGTTTACCAGTTAGTGAGATATCTTCATCACTTAGGTATGAGAAATCGGAACATGGTTCCGTTGAATCATCATCCTGGCCTAATCCTCAGACGGAGATCTCTTTGTCGACTGCAGCCATTTTCTTGTCCATCATGTAGAGGGACCCGACAGAGGAGTCATCCTCATTGTCAGAGTCGTCCGACTTGCGTTTGGCAACATGGTTGCATTCGCTTTTCTTCTTGCGATCCGCCTTGACCGCAGCGTTGGAGACTTTCTTCATAAGGACCGAAAGTTCCTTCTTGGTGTAGGACTTGGCGTCGTCAGACTTGCGTTTCCAAGTCTTTTTCTTGTTGTACGCTGGCTTGCTATCGTTGTCAGACGAGGACTTGGCTCTGAGTTTCTTCAGAGTCATGCAATCAGCAGTATTGTGAGTGCTGGACTCGTGGTAATCACACCACTTCTCTTCGTTCTTGGAAGAATGGTCGTTGTTGCGAGTAGACTTGTACTTCTTGCTGTTGTTCTTCTTCGAAGGAACTTGCTTGGCATCACTGCCTTTGTCAAAGTCTTCAGCGGATTCCATGCGCTCACAGAATCCAATGAGCGCTGTCATCTCGGCAGTGAAAGGATCGAAGTCGTGTTCGTCCATCTTGCGCATCCAGGAACGAGGAATGCCATGACAGATGATGTCGATGAATTCGTCCTGGTTCAACTGTTGATTGGCACCGAAAGGTGGCAAACGTGGAAGCTCATCGGTATTCATCCGAGTGAGGTTGTTGATGTAGGCGCGAGTTGTCATCTCGCTAGGCTTACGCATCTTGCGACGCATGAAGCGTTCCTGTTTTTCGAGAGCCTTGTAAGGACAGGCTGCTTCGATAACCGCGTTGATTCCAAAGGTGATGTCAGCATCGCTTAGAGCGGGTTCCGCTGCACCGTCCCATGCGGCTTGGACATGAGCCTGGAAGGCTACTTCGGTTTCTCCAGAAGTCACATCGCTTGGAGGAATTGCGTTCACAGCAATTTGTCGTAGGGCGTGATGACGCACTGCACGATGGCCTGCACACCCAGCTTCGTAGGCACTCTTCGCAGAGCTGGAAGTCATCTCCTTGAGAAGGCGATGTTTGTCATCGGCATTGGCAAGGTTGAGGCCAACGAAGACCTTCTCCATATTCGTAGCCCACTTGATGGTCTGACGCGGAGGGTTGGAACCATTGATGATGGCTACCTTGAAGGTATATTTGGCACTGTTTGCATCTGCAGGAACGGTGCGAAGTTTGTAGGTGGTTGCACGAGTATCGTCGATCTCGGCTTCTTCGTCGTTTTCCACGAGAGGAAGAATGGGTTTGTCACGAAACTGTTTCTCGAAGTTGGTGAACGCATGCTTTCCTTGAGCAATCTTCATGGTGAAGGAATAGGTTGAGGGTAGCTGAAAGCTCTTGTGTTTGTTAACAAAATGCACTACGCTAAAAGCTAGTGTAAAGATCTTTCGAGTGTTTTGAGTTTGAGAGAATGAAAGTTATGAGAGAGATTAGAAAGCTACGAAAACTAATCCATGAGAGAGATCGTTGTGAAGCTCATTGAAGTTGGTCTCCCGCGGGAGGCCTCGAAGTGTGATATCGTAGGTTATGGCAATAACTCTACGTACTCCACGGTCCATTTCCGGAACACGTGGAAACTTCAGCTAGTAGCTGTCTAGTTTTTTGGAAGCTTTCCACGCCGGCTAAATATCTAGAGCGATGTTTCATCGACAACCTAGTATGACTAGCAGTCATGAGAACCCTGTCTCAATGACTATTCGCGAAGGACTACGTCATGAGTCGAACTCAAACCCTATCTAGGATCGAGTCGCGAACAAGGCTAAGAGCCGTGTATTGCACCTGACATCTTGCTAGTGATGTTGGTTGGCTTTTTCGGTGGGGTTTGGATGGCTAGGCCAAGCAATGGCTGCACAAGCTTTGATGGGCTAGCGGTTGTTATGAGCGCCGGTGGTCTAGAATCTCGCTTGGGTTTTGAGCGATTCTTCTTCTTGGAGGTGGCTTTCTTCGGCGTGTCCTCGTCCTTCGACGTGTCCTCGTCCTTCGAAGAGATACTCGAATCCCACTCCGCTCCTCCTTTGCGTTGCTGCCAAGCTGCTGTCTCAAAAGATGTAACACCAAATTTGATGAGCTTCAATAAGTACTTCTCTCTTGAAAGGAGTTTGAGTTTTTGCACCTTGTGAGTGAGCTTTCGGCGAATGTCGTCTCCTCGGAATCCGTAAGCTCTTGAATCACCTTGCTCCAGGATATCCTTATCAAAAGAGAATCTCTTGCCCTTTCCAATGTTATTCAACCCAAACCTTTCCAGATCCTGCAACAGGTGCTTCTCCAACCAATTGGGAAGTTTCTCGCGTGTCCCCATAGAGCTTGTGCTTGCACTACTCCTTGCACTCTTTCGACTCTCGTTGTCTGAATCCTCTGCAATTCTGCTTCTAGCGGTAGATGTAGGAGTCTTCGGTCTATTTCCTCGTGGTGTTCGAGGTGGCCTTTCCGGGGATTGGAGATCACTTGCCTTGCTGCCTGCCCCTCCTCTTCTTGTAGTCACCATTGTGCCATTCTGTCTGTTCCCACGCAAAAGGCAAAAGGTGCGTCGTAGGCACCAGTAGGAAACATACACAAGATCCAAGGGCAACCACCAAAATGCGTGAGAAGAGATTGGCTCTAGCTACGAGCTTAGTAAGGCGGTAAAATGGGTTTAGATGCCAGGACGTACGCTGGACATGCTTCTAATACCGGTACAAGCGAGTATGCACGTAGCACAGCCAGCATCAAACGCGGTGATGATGTGCCGAATGCTGAATCGACTATCAAAGCAATGTGCCGACTCAAAGCAACTACAAACATGAGCCAAGAAGAGGAGGAATTTGTAGATGACAGAGGCAATAAGAAGAAAGCCAAAAGCAAAGATGTTGCTTGGCAGTATCATCCTGCTCGAATGCTTATTCGTGATCGATTTGAAAATGGCCAAATCCCACTCAGCTACTCCGACGCTTCAGGGTTTGGCCCAAGAGCTGTCTACGACTCTTTGATACCGCTTGGGGATCCCGCAATGAACGGTGTTAAGTACAATGAAGAGTTTACTCGTCATCTACGGGATCTTCGAATGCAAGTTGTGGGTTGTTCCGATAGAGCAAGAGACGATGAGGACGCCTACAAAAACTTCCGAATGAACCATCCAACACAAAAAGTGGATGGACGAGGACGACCGCGTTGGCAAGGCTCAGAGGCTGAAGCTTTGCTCAAACAAGATATGGATGATGGCATCCACAAGCAGTTTGACAAGCCCTCCTTATTCTATCAGTCAAGACCAGAGTACCAGAAATTTCAATTGGATGTGTTCCGTGGACACATTGATCAAGAAAAACGCCTTCGCAACTACTACAATTATCTAGAAAAACAGGAAGCAGAGGAAAAGAAGAAGATGGAGAAGGCTAGAAAGAAGGTGGTTGAAGGGAAGTAGAGAGCTGTTGGTGGTGTTGATGTTGCGGCGCAGTGTTGTTGTTGCTGCTGCTGTTGTTCTACGTGCTGGAGCGACGCGAATAGGAGATCGAAGCTCCTCCTCCAACACACTCTTGTTGGCCAAGCTTGCATTTCTCTCCTGTTTGCAATAGGAATCCTATGAGGGAGAGAAGTCAGTGCTGCGCCTTTAACAATAGACTTGATAATAAGCTCGCGATACGTATCATGCTGTTACTACATAGTTAGTGGAGCGATCGATCGATCGATCGATCGATCGAATAGGCAACTGGCTGAAATCGAATAGGCAACCGTTTAGGCAACAGGTTAAAAATAGGCAACAGTTTTGGCAAAGCGCACCGGTTTTAGGCGACAATTTAGGCGACAGTCTGGATTTAGGATACTAACGGTTGCCTAATTCTCTAATTCAAACGTGCAACCGTTCAGTCGTGATTCATAATTAGCTTTGGCACTAATTGCCGGATCGTCCTGGCAAAAGGAAGGGTGTGTCCTGTACTAAATTATTGCAAAAATACTACCTCATCACTTGTCCACTTAGAGCAGCCTGACATAACATGGTTGTCTAACATTCATCGGGTGATTTCTAACATTTTCATTCTTGATGGTTCATCTGCGAATTAGGAGAGCTGCACGAACAGAATAAGAAAAGTGTCAGCACAAACTCCGCAATCGTTTCCAATTTCAATGTTCTCTGTTTCCCGAAAAAACCTACCATGAGTGCTTGGAACTCATCAAAACTAATTTCTCCATCCAGATTAATGTCGACTTCGTCAATCATGGCATCAATTTCCTCGTCCGTCAGAGCCTGTCCCAGGTTTTTCATCAAAGTCTTGAGTTCTTCACGACTAATGGTACCACTCCCATCCAAATCAAATAATTTGAAGGCTTCTCGTAGTTCTGCTTCAGTATCACGCTCCCCAGAACGCATTGTCATCATGACCAAGAACTCATCAAAATCGATTTCATTGTCACCATTGACATCGACCAGTCGCATCATTTCAATCAAGTCTTCTTCTGCGGGATTCTGGCCCAATTGCAACATGACTTGCTTCAGTTCTGTCAATTCGATGGTTCCTGAAAGTAGACAGATACAAACCACCAGAAAGCAGATAGAGTTAGAGACGTGAAGGGCACCCTGGGAAGGACCCAAACGAATTCTGCTCAAAGGACGAGCAAGCAAGCCCCGCATCCTTTCAGCAAAATATGATCACCCCTTTCAATGCTAAACTATCCTCCCCTAACACCCCACACCCCACCAACTATACATGCCATACAAGAAGGCAAGCAAGAAATGATCGTAAGAAGCACACTTGCACACACCATCTCCATTGATATCAAACATTCCAAAGGCCTCTTTGTATTCATCAATCTCCTCTTGGCTCATGCCAGCAATTGGGTCCTCATCCATCTTCTCTGTTTATTTGTTCTATTGCAGAAGAACTAAAGAACTCAATTGGATCTTTCGGTTGACGGAAGGTTTGTCGTGGGCTTTGTCACCTTGTGTTGTGTTGTCGCCGTGTTGCCGTTGCTGTTGCTGTTGACCCGATCACGTCGCGCGACGTGACGGGTCGCAAGACTGGCTTTCGAAGAGAGGATGACTTACAGTCATCGGCCTTGCAAGCTTATGATTAAACCTACCAACTTGAAGCCTGTAGAGCAGCAAACCACGGTTTCCTTTCAGACCATTCCATCAACCACCATGATCAACCCCATTCCACTGCAAAGTCATAGGCTACGAGAAACCTAAAACTCTCACTGGAAAGCTACTGTATACCGTACGGTACATATAGGTGCGTTTTTGTCTACCTGTACAGCTGTACCGGTACGCATGAATTGAATCGAGGGTCTGGCTGCACCATTGAACGATGGAGGTGCGCTAGGTTGGATGGAAACAATTGAAGACAAAGGAGTGACTGAGGACTCCATCAACTCGATCAGCCAACTTTTCAAATGAGACCCCTTGTGAGGTTTCAACCTTTACATGATGCATAGCTTTGGGGGCATCCAAATTGCCACCTTGGGCAGTAAAACGAAACCATGATGATACAGTGCACTTGATCCCAGCAAAATGAAGCAACAAAACCCGAAGGCACAACATAACAGTCCCCAAAACCACCGTTACACAAACAACCCACTGCCTCTTCAGAAACAGCTCAGAAGTTGCTGGGAGTCCCGCAAGCACTGCGACGTTCAACTAACGTCTACCGGTACCCTTTAGTCTTTGAATGCATGACGCTCCAAATCCTCATAAACACGAAACATCATTTAGGCGGGAATTCCTGGCTCATGTAATTGACTTGGAAGCTGACAGTCTGCTGTCAATGTCACGGTCGATCGCGGTTTTTTTCTGTTCTACAAAAGCCAAGGAAAAACCCAAAGGACAACATTGAATCTAGCTAGCCAGATACTCTTGGAGAAGAAAGACTTTCTAGTTTTAAAGTTAGTCTAGAGTGGAATACAGTGGATTATTGACAAAGATGCCTCTCCGTGGTCAGCGCCGAACCCGAGAGATTCCAGTGGAAACAAGAGAACTTCAAAAGGACAACAAGGTCAACGACAACAACAAGGACGATGATGACGACGACGAAGGTGGCACGACGCTGGAAATATTTGGCTTTGATGACTTGTCTCCCCAAGACCGCCAGCACGTCCAGGAAATTCAAGTCCTAGTGGCTCTCTACGACACGACGGGTGGCTCGAACCACTGGGACGATGACGATGGTTGGCTGGAAGATGGCGCCATTCCCTGTGAGTGGAAAGGTGTCGTCTGCAACAATGACCAGTACATTACGGCACTCCACTTGCAAAACAACAATCTGGTCGGAACGCTGCCGGCATCCATGCTGTGGGATTTACAGCATTTGACTCATTTGGATCTCTCACGGAATCCAGACTTGACGGTCGACTTGGCCACTCGTGTAAGTCTTCTCATGACTTCGTCGTTGGCGGCCATGGCCATTCCTACTGTGATCGTTTCCAATGACACTGATGCTGCAACAGCACAAGAAGAGTTTTTTGTGTGGGATGACGATGACTTTGGCAACAACAACAATAGCAGCAACCACTCGGCTCCGTTGCGGCATCTCAATGTCTCGGACACGGCCACAAAGTCACTCGAAGGAATCGCACACATTCGAGACACTCTACAGGAATTGGACCTGAGCCACACACTGGTGTCTGCCACATCCGTCAGTAGTAGCAGCAGCATCATCACAAGAAGCAATCCCAATTCCACCACACTGATTGTGACGTTTTCTCTGTCTGACCAACTACGACAATTGTCTCACTTGCGAATTCTTGGCATGAACCATTTGAGTCTTGGAGACCAACTCGACAATTACATTCCTTTTCTGTCACCCAATCTACAACACTGGCATGCTAGAAATGCCAGTTTCATGGGCACCATTCCTACTTCCATTGGATTGCTCTCCAATCTAGAAACTTTGAATTGGTCCCACAATCAACTTCAGGGGTCACTGCCTACCATTATGAATGCCATGACCACGTTGACACAACTAGAGTTGCAAGGACAAGAACGCCTCGCAGGACCACTCTTGTCCTTTCACTTGATGCCGCACATGCGACATTTGGATCTCAGTGACAATCGTTTCACGCGGGACATTCCAACCAACTTGTTGGCCAGCATTGGCAACAACACTACGCTACCCATATATGTCAATCTCAAGGGCAATCTACTCGATGGTGCCGTACCGGAAACGCTGGTGCGACTCGACAATCTTTACCTCGATGTCACGGACAATTACTTGTCCCAACTACCACCCGCCTTGTGCCAACAAACCAATTGGATGAATGGAGCCGTGGGACTCTTTGGGTGCGACGCCATTCTCTGTCCACCCGGACTCTACAATGAATACGGACGGCGGACGGCCCGAAATACACCCTGCGAACCCTGCGACTTTATGATCGATGCCCTCTTTTGGGGGTCGACCAGTTGTCGAGACGAACCGCCCACAATTATTTTGGCGGGAGCCGAAGCCAACATTACCCAGCGTGACATTTTGAATGAATTCTTTGTCGCCACGGGCGGTGCAGTATGGAACAACCGTACGGGATGGCAAGATGACGACGGAACCAACACCAATGTTTGCAACTGGTTTGGAGTCGATTGTGCAGGAGGTGACACGGTGCAAGAACTGATCTTGCACGACAACAACTTGCAAGGCACCAGTACGGCCAATCTATTCCAATTGCCGTCGTTGCAGAAATTAGATCTCTCGAGCAATCCCAATCTCTCGCTGGATTTGTCCGGCCTAGCGACCGTGTCGGACCCTGTACCACTACGTGACTTGATTGTGTCCAATACGTCCACGTCGTCGTTGGAAGGAATCTCCCGTGCATCCAATCTCGAACAGCTGGTGATTAGCAATACTCAAATTACCGGTCCTAGCCTGTTCGAAATCTATTCTCTCTCCAATCTACGGACCCTCAACATGGGAAACAACAACTTTAACCAATTCTTCATGTCCATTGGATCATTGACCAACCTCGTGTCCTTGCGAGCTCCCAATGCCGGCTTGGTGGGGACCATCCCGTCGGAGATGGGTGCTTTGACGAATCTCGTTTCCTTGGATTTGGCCGAAAATTTCTTGGTCGGACCTTTGCCAGAAACACTCAATCATTTGCAGTCTCTGAGAATTTTCGATCTGCGCGGACAAAAGCTTCCCTTTGGCGGTCCCCTCCTTCCATTGGACGGAATGGTCTCTTTGATGTATTTGGACCTGTCCTCCAATGCATTGACCGGTCCCATTCCTACTACATTTCTCAATGGCATCACGGACAAATATCGCAGCATTGATATCAACCTCCGAGATAATCAACTCACAGGAAGTCTTCCATTGGAACTCGCCTTGTTCCAATCCATGCATCTAGATGTCACGGAGAATCGAATTGAACACATTCCTGAGATTCTCTGTATTAAGCAAGACTGGATGGATGGACTGGTATCCGACTTTGGTTGTGATGCCATCATGTGCCCGCCTGGAATGTTCAACGAGCAAGGCCGAGTGGTGGCAGCAGACGGCCCATGCGAAACATGTCCCAATGTTACCCTGAACTACTTTGGGGCAGTCGCTTGTCCTAGCAATACTGTTGCTGTTGCGAATAGCGACTTGACTTCTGCGGAGACGCTTTCCCCCGACAACTTCGTGGCCCTGACAGAACGTGGAATTCTGGAACTACTCTTCCAAGTCACGGGAGGTAGCACGACTTGGATTCGAACGGACAAATGGATGGACAATGCGACAGATATTTGTGGGTGGTATGGAGTAAATTGTGACGCCGACAATCAAGTGCGATCGTTGGTGCTTTCCGAAAATGGTTTGCAGGGCACAACACCTCCACAGCTGTTCCAACTATCCCGCTTGGAGAGACTTTTCTTGAATGGCAACTCGGACTTGAACGTCGACCTATCCTGGATTGGATCCTTTCAAGCTCAGGCTACCTTTCTCGATTCAAAATTTGGACAAGAGTCAGTGCTGCGAGCACTGGTCATTGCGGGAACAGCTACCACCTCGGTCTCTGGCATCTCCAAGGCCACTTCATTGCAGGCGCTGAACCTCAACTCGACCAAGGTTACTGGCGAAGCAATGGAAGAGTTGATGGGCTTGTCAAGTCTGCAGAGTCTGAACATTGGAAACACCCGAATGAATCGAGATCTGCCCACTACAATTGGCGGACTCACAAACATATTGGAGTTGTCAGTGCCCAATGCAGGCATCACTGGCACAATACCGAATAGCATAGGCCGGCTGACCGGGCTAGCTTTATTGGACCTGTCGGGGAATCGAATGATAGGATCACTCCCGCCCTCTTTGGAGGATCTCGTGGATATCCGTGTACTGGATATTCACGATCAAGGCCTTGCCAACGGAGGAGGACTTGGTGGGAACCTGCTCCCATTCGAAAAGCTGTTTTCTCTTACCAAGATGGATTTGAGCCAGAACCGTCTCTCTGGGCAGATACCAGATTCCTTCCTTTCGGGAATCTTTGACAAGTCGGCAGCTATGAGCGTGAATCTACGTCGCAATTCGTTAACGGGGAGCATTCCTGGATCATTGTCGTCGTTCGCGGAGCTGAACATTGACGTGACTGCCAATTCAATATCTCATCTTCCAGAGAGTCTGTGCTCGCAGCAATTGTGGATGGATGGCAATGCTGAATCCTTTGGTTGTGATGCAATTCTGTGTCCTCCCGGCACTTACAACTCCAATGGCAGACAAGTTTCTGCGCTGGACCCATGCGAGCCCTGTCCAATTGATCCAAAGCCATTCTACGGCTCAAACTCTTGCTTCGATTTCACCGAAGAGCTGGATGGTGCCACGACCATATGCCCCAGTGGTCTTGCATGCTACAACCATGGCAAATGTGTCGAAGCGGTGTCTGAACCGGGCGTGTATACGTGCGACTGCAGGGGATCCAGTGAATTCGGAATTCCTTTTGAAGGTCTTGCCTGCGAATACAAAGCCACTGACCTATGCCACGACACGAGCGGTTTCTTCTCTACGAATATCACCTCCTTTTGTACAAACAATGGCCTTTGTCGGCAGCGAGTGCCACCCGGAAACGCCCACAAGGGCTGCATCTGCAATTCAGAGCTGTGGAAGGGCGACTACTGCGAGCTGAGAAACGCTTTCGTCGCACCTTCGCCCACCCAGAGTCCAATTGTTTCGGCTCCCAATTCAACTCAAACTTGTCCCGATGGAATCATTTGCGAGAATGGATCGGCCTGTATGGAGAGCACCTACAACCAAGGGTCGTACGGTTGTGACTGTGATGCTCCTGGCCCAGAGTACATTCCATCGGCTGGAGATCGATGTCAATACGTTGCGACATCCTTGTGTAGCGTTACCACTCCCTACACATCGTTCTGTGTCAATGGTGGGGCTTGTGTTGCGTTGGTTGACGATGGTGTTGAACATATGGATTGCCTTTGTCCAGGGGGCTTCTCTGGCGGGCACTGTGAAATCGAAGCACCATCTATGCCGGTAAACGATGCCGTCGCTCCTCCGAGTGATGAAGGAGGGATGGAAGGTTGGCAAATGGCTCTTGTTTTCATCCTGCCAGCGATGGCCATTCTAATCATTTTTGTGATGATCTTGGCGGCCTATTCGAGAGTTCGCAAGAAAGATCTTAAGTCTGTAAACGCAGATCTCCTGGCAGAGTCGGAATACAACAAGTACGCCAGCGAAGATCCAGGGACTCCAGTGGACTCTGGAAAAGAAGACGAAAACACTGATTTCGAAACGCCGCCGTCGATTATCGACCGCGCCCTGGCATCGATTCCTGACGAGGAACAAACCGGTTTCTTCAGTCTTCCAGAAACACCCAGGGAGATTGAAATCATGGAAGACGAACCCGCACCAGATGCAGGCCAGGTTGCCTACACAGAGCACAATATTGAGCCAGCAGAAGAGCCAGAATTCGATACTCGAGAAAGTGCCATTGCTGACGGGGCCGAAAAGGTCGAGGAAGAAGAAGAGATGCCGGAAGTTGAATCGAGTGTTCTAGACGAGCTCCCCGCGGTAATAGAGGAGAGTGAATCACAGGTGCTACAGGAAGACAAGTCTTTTGACGTATTGGACGACCCAGAGGTCGACTACGCTGCAACAATACCGGTAAGCTTCGGGCAAGTATCGGAACACCGGGTTGAGTCTGCAAGGGAACCGGAACCGGAGAAAGCGATTGACGACAAATTCGAAAATGAAATTGTATCGCGGAGCTTGCCAGGAAACGAAAGCTTTGGTGCGAAATCTGGGGCCTCGGACGAGTGTCAACCGGATGCATGGGTGAGCAAACCCAGGGTGGCGTTTGACCTTCCGTCTGATGACGACTTCAACGACGAGGACGATGAGTCGAACAATTTCATAGGAGACATCCACGATCAAGCTGCAAGTGGCGGCGCAACTGGGAAATCGCTGTTCTCGGGTGTTCAAGGAGATGATTCCGTCAGCTTCCTTGACCAGTCCGTTGGCTTGTCGGAAGATTCCGAGAGATCTGAACGGTCGTTAGGAACGCCAACAAACCAAGTAGAGGTATCCGTCGAACCCAGCCTGGCGCAAACCATGTTCGGCGGGCGAGAGTCGATGTCAGACAACTCCAGTGGAGACCTTTCGTTGAACTTCTAGCTGACTTGTCTCCGGGAGGCTGTCAAGATGTTTTCTTCTTGGACGGTTTTCTTGTTGGTGTTTCGTCTCCTTTGTTTCAGTATAGTGTAAATAACTTAGCATGTGAAAGTTCGTGTTTCACGAGCACAAACCTTATTAGGCTCGAACGCTATGAGCAGGCCTCATCCATGTCGGAGCTCTAGTAGCTAGCATCCAGAGATCCCTTCGGAGCTGCTTATTTGCTGCTTCCCTCAACCTGGGCCAACTCCTTGCTTCTTGATGAGGGCTTTCAGGAATCGAATCGAATCCACCGTCGGCGTTGTATGTAGACTATGTACCTTACCGGTATGAAGTGCGAGGGGAGGAACCCAGCTTGTCCGCCTCGGCATGTTCGTGCGACTTTTCGAGCAGCCAATCTCTGCCACCGCCCGGTACCTGGTACCGTACCCGTGTATTGAAGCTTCCGTACCGTACGGTACACTGTAGTAATCCCTCGAGACGAATTGAAGTCTGCACGAGGGTTGGTGATGTCACTCTTGCTTGTGGACGTGATCAAGAAATGAGGATGACGTCAGCAAGCGACAAAGATCCAATCTCGCCTTCTTCAAAGATCCACCGCTATGTTCGGCTCCATGTTCTGACAAGGGGCTCTCGAGCTGATAGCGTGGCTTACAGATGCTACCGGTACCTGGTAGTAGCCACCATGAACAGCACTAGCCCCAAGAGAACCCCCGATTCCGAGCTCAACTTGGCAGCTCGTCATCCTGATCGACAAACCTTTTTGAATATCAACGAGACAGAATCTGAGCGAGTGCGAAACTGTCACAAGTGCTTTTTGGAGGTTGCATACGGAGAGGATCCACTGCAAAGAATGGATATCTTTCCTTCTCCTGTTGTCAATTCGCCCATTCTGGTGTTTATTCATGGAGGATACTGGAGGAGTCTGGACAAAAAGAGTTACAGTTTTGTGGCCGAAGCGTTTGTGGCCAAGAACGTCACTGTTGCTGTGATCAACTATCGACTTATTCCTACAGTGGATATGTTGCGTTTACTCCAAGATGTCAAGGACAGCGTGGAATTTATCCAAAAACATGCAACTGACTACAATGGGAACCCGTCCCAGATCGCTCTGAGTGGACATTCGGCAGGTGGGCATTTGGCCCTGATGACCTACTTGATGAATCCATCCATGCAACCCAGTGTTCCAGCGATATGCAGCTTGAGCGGAATCTTTGATCTCAATGCTATCCGACACAGTTATTTGAGTGACGACACCCTCCAACTATCACCAGATGATGTGGGACAGTTCAGTGCTTCCAACAAAGATTTGGCAGCCGTCAAGTGTTCTACACTGATTGCCGTGGGTGGAGGTGAGACAACCTTCTTCGTGGAGGAATCCAAAAAGATTGCCAAGGCACGTCCATCTTTCCGATACCACGAATACGACAATCTCAACCACTACCAAATAGTCCATTTGCTGGGGGCGTTTCAGCAAGATGATGTCATGATTCCATTTCTTCTAGAGAAGCTACTGGGAAGCAAAGAAAGCTGAGACTCAAGCTCTCCGCCTTTCTGTGTCAGCTCATGTTTGAGTCGAGTCGAGTCAGAGTCTATTCTGAAAACACCCAAAAGATTACAAAGTTGCCGACATTCTCAATGTGTTGTTCGATTTCTGCACGTCATCTGACCTTGACCCAACCAGCGTGCACGTACTGGTACCGTATGTCGGATCGGATTCCTTTGTTTGAGTTTTTTATTAACATAGAGTTGCCGAAAGGTGAAGATCCGATCAAAACCAAAACGAATTTGGGGAATGCCTCATTGCTGACCACACAAAGGGGGTTCACGCCATGATGAATGTCTTGGCGATGATGCCAACATGGGACGAGCCAGCTTTGCAGGGAATATTTGAGATGCATGATGTGTGAATCGGGACAATTGTAACTCTTCAAGCAAAGGAGGCGTTTATGGACCAGGTGAGCCAAGCAAGGCCCATACAGACGCTTTCGGATCTTGAGGGCATCTGGCCTGTAGTGCAAGTGAGAGATCTCGCGCCACCTTGCAGCTGATCGTGTTTTTGCTTCGAAATGTACACGGCCGAGGCAAACGCATGCACGGTGACTGTGGTCGTGCACACTCGAGAATGGAATGATTCAATCAAGCAGCGGCAAGGCATGAACGCTCTTACAAAGTGCTTGCACAGACGCAAAGCAATCCAGAATGCGCAAGCAAGCGTTGAGCAAGACCGTCATCCTCAACCTGATTTCACAGAATCCGGGGCGGGGCTACGCAGAACTGATCTCTATGGTCAATGAAAAAGTTGCACAAATTGGCGCGACGAATTCTTGTGGAAGCACAGGAACGGAGCTTACAAGAAGTTAAAGCAAACTTTGCAGCGGAACGGGGAGATTGAACACTGGTCAGAGATGGATTTCCAAGGATTGTTCGTGTTGCGGGGGTTGGAAGAGAGGCTTGCAGCAGAATCTGATGGCCAACCAAGTCTCCCAAAGCGACGTCGCAAGCTATGCATTGGCCAAGTCACACAACGGCATTGGATCGACGCAACGTATAATGGGTGACTAAGACGCGGCGCTGACCAAGCACAATAATGCGCTGGTCTTTGCATTGGAGCGGCTGGGTTTGAGTCATCGGGAGCTTTGGAGCCGCACAAATCAAGGGGGCCGCGAGATTGCCTTGATTGACCTGCGAGACGCCCTTTCCGCGTTCGAACGGCTCGAAGCAACTAACCAACAGGAGGTGGCAATTTGCCGAAGCAATATTCGGAATGTTTCGAGGAGCAGTCTTGGAGAACACCCATTGCGCTACAGCCAGGAGCACAAAGCGGCATCGGATGTTTTCGAAGCCACGTTGGTGTGATGACTCTCCTGATACGGCATATTCTCGCTATAGCATCAGCTTGTATGGTGATAACCTTGAAGAATCTATCAGCTTGATCAACTCTAGCTAGCATAGCCTAAGCCACTCTCATTTCGTTGCTGAAGCAACCGTATATCATAAAGAACAAACAGTGAAGCTTAACCATTACCATGCACGCTTGAGGGCGGGTACAAGACAGAACCTACATGTGCTCGACAGAACACCTATCTAAGCAAGAGTCCATCCCTTCCTGTGCGCGGCATGAGCACAGTCGATGAGAATGATGGGGTCCTCCCCAACGTTTGGTGTCGTTCCGCGCCACACGGCGCAAAGGTCATCGTGTAAGGATGGGCTCAAGTATTCGCCATCGCTGTATTTCCACTCCTGAAGCCTGTTGTGATCATCACAATGCTGGATACGGACAACGAGTCCAACCATTGAACGGGCATAACCGTATCCGGCTTGGAGGCAGAAGTCATCGTCGAGCTCGCTACGAAACCGTCCGCTGTCATCAAGTCTCCATCCTCCATTTGCCGATGTGCAGTCGCCCAACATGACACGCTGACCGTTCGTGGCGATGCCATCCTTCACCTCGATGCAAGCACGGCTGAAATCAGTGGATTCCAAGCGGTCGTACCCAGCAGCCGAAGCCGTGTCAGCAGGAGGCACCAGCACTGAAACAGCAAAATTAGTTGTTAGAAAACCGTACAGATGAAACCAGAACACATGGTTGCCACGCAAGCACTCACCTGCATCAACAACGTGTACGACCCCATTGTTGGCAAGCACATCAGGCAGGACAACAGTGGCATCATTGATCATCACTGAATCTCCAATCGAGACTTCCAGTACTGCACCATTCAGAGTGGTGACACGCTGGCCATCTGTCAAGTCTTCAGCAAGCACAGTGCCTTCCACAACATGATACAGTAGGACGTCTGTGAGAGCACCAGATGGATCAGCCGCCAGGGCAGTCACAGTGGCATGATCAAGAGCAGCAAAAGCATCATTTGTTGGAGCAAAGACTGCAGGCAGAGAAAATGATGTGTGAGCAACATGACACCGGAATGATGGCTTTATGATGTGCAGACGCCCAATTTCCTAGACTAACCTGTAAAAGGCCCACCAGTAGCAAGCACTTCCGCAAGTCCAGCCAGTGTCACCAGTTCAACCAAAGTAGAGAGATCCGGGGTTGCAACTGCCAGATCCACAATAGTCTCAGTTGGCTCATCAGCCGGAGCAGGAGCAGGAACTGGTGCTGGGACAGGTGGTGGCACGATCACAGCGTCAATGACATGCACGACCCCGTTACTGGCAAGCACATCAGGCAGGACAACGGTGGCATCATTGATCATCACTGAATCTCCAATGGAGACTACCACTTCTGCACCATTCAGAGTGGTGACAAGCTGGCCATCTGTCAATTCTTCAGCAAGCACAGTGCCTTCCACAACATGATACAGTAGGACGTCTGCCAGGGCGCCAGAAGGATCACCTGTCAGGGCAGTCACAGTGGCATCATCAAGAGCAGCAAACGCATCATTCGTTGGAGCAAAGACTGCAAGCAAAGAAAAAATGATGTGTGAGCAACATGACACCGGAATGATGGCTTTATGATGTGCAGACGCCCAATTTCCTAGACTAACCTGTAAAAGGCCCACCAGTAGCAAGCACATCCGCAAGTCCAGCCAGTGTCACCAGTTCAACCAAAGTAGAGAGATCCGGGGTTGCAACTGCCAGATCCACAATAGTCTCAGTTGGCTCATCAGCCGGAGCAGGAGCAGGAACTGGTGCAGGGACAGGTGGTGGCACGATCACAGCGTCAATGACATGTACCACCCCATTGTTGGCAAGCACATCAGGCAGGACAACATTAGCATCATTGATCATCGCAGGATCCAATGAAACAGTAATGTCACTTCCTTGGAGGGTTGTGACAGTGGCACCATCTACGAGGTCCTCCGCCAGGATAATGCCAGGAACCACATGATAGAGGAGCACATTTGTCAGAGCACCAGAGGGATCATCAGTCAGGGCCGTTACAGTGGCGTCATCAAGAGCAGCAAAGGCGTCATTTGTTGGGGCAAAGACTGCAGAGCAAAGTAGTATGTGAGCGGCATGATGCGGTAGGAATGGCATGACACATATTTTCCTTGACGCACCTGTAAATGGTCCATCTGTGGCGAGAACATCAGCAAGTTCAGCCAATGTCACAAGCTCCACTAAGGTGGAGAGCTCAGGAGTTGCAACGGCCAAGTCCACGATACTGGAAGTCATGGAGGGTGGCAGCAACACATCGTCAATGACATGAACAATTCCGTTTTCGGCTTCGACGTCCGCCTTTGGTCGGAGTGGAGTAGAAACCACCACCCACAAATCGCAGGCAGGAAAATTCGAGGAAAGTTAGACGATTTATATAGTTGATTTGTCCGATCTGGGCCCGCCGATTGTTTTTGGATCGACTTACAATGATGATTTCAGCATTGTTCACTTGTGGAGGATTCAAACTTGTGATATTCACAAATGCACCCTCGAGAGTCTCGGCCGAAAGACCAACTTCGAGGTCTCCCGACTCCACCTCAATTGGAAGAACATGGTACAACAACACTGATGTCAAATGTGCCCTCCATTGGTCCTCGAGGAGCATGGTGACGTTGACACTCTCAAATGCCTCATTAGTAGGAGCAAATACTATGCAGGAGATTCATGGAAAAGCGGGGTGTGAGAGGGATTGCCTACGTCGTGATGCCCAAAGTGATGGACGTGACGCTCAATTTGCGTGACTTACCTGTGAAATCCGCGTCCTCCGTACTGAGAGCATCCACAAGACCAGCTGCCTGCACAGCTGCGACAAGAGTGGTGAAGTCATTTTCAATCGCCACATCTAGCACAGTCTGGGCGGAAACACCAGAAGGCATCCACGCGACGGTAGCGAGCGCAGCCAATGACAGGATCATTTTTGAACAAATCTGGAAGACCATGGTTTGGCTGCTTTTGGGATGGTTTGTTCCTTTTCAGTTACTTACTCAATCTCGATAACAAAGCTATGGATTTGAGTGCATTTGTGAGCTCATGGTAAAATGATGGGTGGATGATGGCTGATATCCGGCAGAAACGGCGAAGGAAGGATTGATCGTATCAAAATGGCTTTACTGAGTCAACGAACGTCAGCCATGGCTCCTTGGGGATGATATTTGGTATCGTCGCTCTTTCTTGGGACGAGAAATCAGTTGTAGAATGTACGGTAGCTGTACTGCTTTGTATTGGATCTGCCATTGAATTCCAGAGGAGTATACCGCTCAAGCTAGCTAGCTAGAGCATGTCATCAATCGTATCTATCCCGAAGACACATTAACAACAGTGGATCTTCTTCACCGATTGGCCTATGTATCTGATCGCCGTTTGTCTCTCGAGGACATCCGCGGACCAAGACTTGGCTGGCAGCACATGAGAGTCTTCAATCGTACAGCATCCCTGCTGTGTTGAAGGAGTAAGAGTGATGCAATGGGCAACCCGGCCTTTCAAGCTTTCAGCGGCGATCTCGAAACCTTCGAAGGAGGTCTGAACACTGCTATTCCTGACCACGGTACCAGTGGTGGTACAGTACCACCAGAAAAATGAGAGGAGCGAAGATCTTTCTTTGTCTCTGACGCGGTAAGTCACGGGCTGACGTAGGTTTCATTCCAGGTTGGACCTTTTGGAAAGAAGCAACTCCATCCCTAAGGTTTGCTTCTTTGCTCTCCAAAAGCAGAAGTTTGGCGGATGAGATGAGGTTTGTCGACCATTCGAGGTGTATCCCCCTCCATTTTATCCATCTTGTGTTTCCCAACAACCCGGCTACAGCAGTGAGAGGAAGATGCCGCTCCAACCGTGCAAAGGATGCCTTTTCAGGGTAGCAGGAGGTCGTTGGTCTTCACGCACTCATGTATCAGGGACAAGCCTTTCCAGGAGAGAGAATCTCGTGTCGTGGGCTGTTCTCGGAATTATGGGTAGCAAATTCAGCGGTCCTGTGTTCAGGGTCGTTGGATCCGATTCTTCTGTAATATTCCAAAGAGGACTCCACAGCACAGTACCAACCTCAAGAAAGAGAAGCAACGATTCTTCTGGCTTGGACTCTTCAGAAAGCACGTCAAATGCTGGTGGTGGAAACGGTGCTGTGGTGAGTGGATCACGTCACAAACCTCGACATTCCGTCCAGCACATGGCTCCTTCCTTTCGAGCCACCAAAGTGTTCTATAGCACGGGAGAACTGGAGACGGTCAATATCCCAACGTTGGAACTGCTCAAAACTAGCAAGATTCATGCCCGGGATTTGTTTGATTTGCAATTGACCAGTCGCCAGGAACGACGCAGTCGCAAGGCACTGGCACCCCGAGCCCTTGCGGCCATTGTTTTGCCTCGTCCAAGGTCCATTGTACTCAGTTTTGGTCCCATTCGGGCCATTGTGGGACGTCAGTTTGTCTTGTTCTTGGATGCTCATGATGTTCTTGTGCAAGATTTTGCAAAGGACCTGGCTGCCACGTTCAAGAGTATCGCCAATCAAAGTCGATTCCAACATTTGACCACGGTACAAACTTGCGATGGCAGTACTTCGGCAGATCACCATCATAAGGAAGCGGGGGAACTGATTTTTCTAGAAGAAGTTCTACGATACAGCGTAGAGAGCTTCGCCAGACGGTTGAGGCTCTATGATCCCATTGTCCATGCCTTCCTAGATAGTGTTGCTCATGAAGTCTACAGTGATACAGGAGTGCATCAGTTGGTGCCCCTAAAGGACAGTCTGCAGTCCTTTGAAATGCACGTCAAACAGTGTCTGGAATGCCTGACGCAGCTATTGGAGGATGACGAAGAAATGTTGGCACTCTTGTTGACCGAACAGGCCAACGCGGATGAAACGGGAAAAGCTGTAGATCATCGGAGACACCAGCATGTGGAGCTTTTGCTGGGAGTATACGCTCGGCAACTCAACAATATACTCATGGAAATCCAATTCCTGCTGCAGCGAATCCAGTCCAAGCAAGAATTTGTGGCCCTGGCGTTGGCGGGATACCGAAATCGTTTGGTGAGAATGAATGTTCATATCAGCATTGCCACTCTCAGCTTGTGTCTGGGTACCACAGTGGCGGGATTCTATGGGATGAATGTTGTGAATGGCTTGGAAGAGTCTACGACGGCCTTTTCGCAAATTGTCATGTGCAGCAGCATTGCAGGGATTGCTGTGGGGGCTGGGTCGATGAATTACCTGAGCGGTAGAACTATGCAATCCCGAGCTACGCAACGTTTGCGAGAGATTGAAACGCTCAGTGGGGCGCTCAGTGATATGGGGGCTCTCGACTATGCTGTCAAATCAACCTTGGATCAAGGAACAGTAATCACGAAGGATGACTTTCGCATCAAGCTACGCCAGGCTAGGCAATCGGGGACAGTAACAGATGCAGAAGTGGATCTACTATTTCACGTTTTGGACACAGTCAAGGATGGAATGCTTCGGAAAGAAGATATGGATGCGATTGGCTTCTCCAACGCTTCCCCCGTTCCGTCCAATGAGTCACGAACAACATCGTCGTCATCATCATCATCCTAAAGGATCGTCGCTACAAGTCATGTCTTTGCTTTGCTTTTTAAATATGGAATTTCTAACTAATACCTGGCAGTGGAAAGCGTAGTCCTGCTCACGTTTCGCTACCCCAACTTTCTATCATTCTGTTCCACCTTTCTTCAGGCGATTGCTCGTCCATCATCGTCTTCAACATTTCCTTTCTCTGAGCTATCTCCACAGCAAGGTCTTGCCGCGTTTCTACCTCTTTCTTTGCCGGAGTTTTGGGGATATCCTTGGCCCTTCTGCTGCGTCTACTGCTCACCCTGGTGGCATGCTCCGCTGCTAGATCTGAAACACGAAGTGAACAATCACTCATCTGCTTTTCTCTATTGTGCCTCGTGTCCCGCTTTTCTCTCTGATGATTCCTGCGAGAGATCGGGCTGCGTTCAGAGGACCTCTTCATCCTAGAAGATTCGCTTTGCTTGCCCCGACGATCCCCCGCCCTCTTTGAACCAGAGATAGTTCCAGCATTTTCACGGTCGCTCTTCCTCAAACCTCGACGCCCGGAAGCGTCGCGAACTTGATGCTGAAAGTCTTCTTCTCTACAGGTTTGGTTGACCAAAGAAGTGATTGATTTGGCTCTTTGTAGCCGACGAGTTGAAGTTGGAGACATCCTCTTGCCCTTTGCTTGCATTGTAGCGTCCTTCGCGAGCGTTGATGGGGTACTAGTGCCTGAAAGAGCCAGGACACACAGAGACGGGTCTGAACTTGCCCGTCGTAACCCTGGGGGAGTCACGGGCATTTTAATTCCACTGGTCCTCCTCCGCCTTCGACCTATTGGCAGTTCAGCTTCTAATTGAGCTGGTTTGTCACCTTCAAGTCTTTGGTCTGAGACATTCAAATAGGGGTCTGAACTTGCCCGTAGTAACTCTGGGGGAGCCATGCGCATTTTTGTACCACTGTTCCCCCTCCGCCTTCTACCTGTTGATAGTTCAGCTTCTAATTGCACTGGTTTATCACCAGCAAGCCTTCTTTCAGAGACATTCAAATATGGGTCTGAGCTTGCCCGTACCAACCTGGGGCGACCCAAGGGCATCCTTGTACCACTGGTCCTCCTCTGTCTTCGAATTAATGGCATTTCAGCTGCTTCAGGGTGTTCTGGTATGCCATCATGAAGAAGTCTTGGGCTGGAGACAAGCAAACATTTTTCAGATCTTGCCCCTTGGAAAGAAGGAAGGGCCATCTGCTTCCTTGTAGCACGAGTCCTCTGCCTGCGAACTGATGGCCTCTCAGCATGTGACAGGTCAAACCTGTTACCATGTAGTCTTCTTTCAGAGACAATCAAAGATGTGTCAGTGCTCACCCGATGGAATGCAGGACCGGTCATTTGGCTTCTTCTATCACTGGTCCTTAGCCTTTGAACTGGTGGTATTTCAGCTTCTAATTGCACTGGTTTATCACCAGCAAGCCTTCTTTCAGAGACATTCAAATATGGGTCTGAGCTTGCCCGTACCAACCTGGGGCGACCCAAGGGCATCCTTGTACCACTGGTCCTCCTCTGTCTTCGAACTAATGGCATTTCAGCTGCTTCAGGGTGTTCTGGTATACCATCATGAAGAAGTCTTGGGCTGGCGACAAGCAAAGATTTTTCAGATCTTGCCTGTTGGAAAGAAGGGCGGGCCATCTGCTTCCTTGTACACTAGTCCTCTGCCTGCGAACTGATGGCCTCTCAGCGTGTGACAGGTCAAACCTGTTACCATGTAGTCTTCTTTCAGAGACAATCAAAGATGTGTCAGTGCTCACCCGATGGAATGCAGGACCGGTCATGTGGCTTCTTCTATCACTGGTCCTTAGCCTTTGAACTGGTGGTATTTCATCTTTTTCTGGTGGATCTGGAATGTCCCCATGAAGACTTGGGCTGGAGTCTAGTAAAGGATTTTCAGATCTTTTCCATTGGAAAGAACGACGGGTCATTTGCTTCCTTGTAACACTAGTCCATTGCCTACAAACTGATGGCCTCTCAGCATGTGACAGATCCAATCTGTCACCATATGGTCTTCTTTCAGTAGTGATCAAAGATGTCTCAGACCTTGCCCGCTGGAATACAGGACGGGCTAGTTGGTTCCTTGGATCACTGGTCCTCATTGTTCGAACTGTTGGCATTTCAGCTCCTGGAAGATCTGGCCCAGGTTCACTCAAACCACATCCTTCAAAGCTTGATCTTTGGTACTCGTCACTATGTGTCTCCTGAATCTGTGACGTGCTGCTCGGGGGAACCAGAGAATGAGCCGAAGCCGATGCCGATTCTATCATGCAACCTGGAGCAATAGGCTCTTCTACCGTCCCACTTACACCATACCCAAAAGAAAGGGAGGGATCGATTAAGGGATTCTCATGCTTCAGCGTGCCATTGTCGATGAGCGGACCAAGTTCTTGGCTCATCATTGCTATGGATTGTTGGAAGTTGGGCTGCATTTGGATTTTGAATGAATCAAACTGAAGTTGTCAAACAAAAGCTTGATTCAGCTCTCTTGACCAGCTACATGTACATAGTCTTGAAGTCCAAATGAATCAATGATTCAGTGGTCAGCCTCGGACGAGCAAACACTGTGGGCACATCTTTGTATTACTGATGACTTTTTACTGGCTAGAGCAACGACGTGTAGCTCGATTTCCGGTTCTCCGGTGCCGGTACCGGTATTGGTGTATGTACCATGGTACCGTACCGATGCCGGTATTTGCATATTTATTTGCTGCCCTTGGTTTTCTCTTGCTACTGGTGCTAGCCACCGTAGTAGGTAAGTCACGACTTACCCAGTAGCAAGAGAACACCAAGAGACTTACCGTAAGTGTCCTGTTTACAGTTAGCTGCAATCGCTCACGATTGTTGCCTTTCGGCTTCCGCGCAATCGACCAGCCAGCTAGCCAACCAGCAGCAGCCTCACGGCTGTTGACATTCTGTTATTTGTTATTTAGGCCGCTCTCTACCGGAGGGACTAAAGTAGCGACTAAAGGGATCCTTTAGGTGGTTGTTTAGTTCAAGATTTAGTCATTATTTAGTTTACTACTGGTAGTAGAAAGTGTCCAAAGCTGTGTCCGCAGAAGTCAGTCCGCAGAGGCCTAGCTAGCTAGTACTGTAGGCTGTAGAGGGGCAGACTAACGAAAGTGCGAACTGGCAGTAAAAGTGGCAGATGGTACGACTGTACTACTAGTAAAGTAGTACCGTACCAGTACCGGTAGCCGTAGAAAGGGCCGGAAATCACGATTTTATGAAATCAACAAAATTGATCAATTCGAAACCTAAATATAAAATCGAAACCACCGAAACCAAATTACAAATTACTATGGTAATTAACTAGTAAAATCAAGCCGAAACCAAATATAAAGTCGAAACCAAAATATAAAATCGAAACACAAGTAAAAATCGGAATTTGGTGTAAATCGAGATTTCGGGCCCTTTCGTACGTACCTACATCCTTCCAGTCGCTATTTTGCTTCCGTGTGAAAATTCCCAGTTGCTAGCTAGTAGCGGACGGAGTTGAAATGTCGCTGTGGCGAAGTACTAGCTAGTACAGTGTAGCTGCGAAGTCCACATACTTGTAACTACAGCGAACTGCGACAGGCCTCGTAGAACGTCAACAAACTCCGAATCTGTAGAAACCTATTTGCGGGTTATCTCTGCTGCAGGAGGGCCACCGGTTTAGGGGCCTTTTGGCGATCCCACCCGAAATAGCAGTCGTGCGAGTGCAGTCGCGACCACAGTGGTGTGCAATCGCAAGCAGTCGCGCGCAAACGCGTATAAAGTCGCGTAGAGACGCGTGGAGTCGCGTGGAGTCGCGACACTATATCGAGATAAATACAAGTATTTAAGAAGTGAGTCGCAAGGAGTCGCGTGGAGTCGCGTGGAGTCGTGAAGACTTGTTCGAGAATCCGTGTGGAATCGCGCGACTTTAAGCGACTAATCGCGACTTCTCGCGACTCGCCAAACTTTGGGGTTTATCGTGACGTCATCTGGGGATTACCGGAGCCCCTCCAGGAAACCTACCAGTACTTCTTAAACTGTGTCTGCACGTACTAGTCTACATCCGCACTATTAATTAATACTGGTACACCGTACCGGTTCATGGATGCCTTCGAGTGTACATTGGAGTTGGGCAGAAGGGGGCAGCGTAGCACAACAAGAGCTCTCATGTACTGGACCTCTGTGGAAACGTCATTCGTGTCAAAATACTTAAGAGACGATACACCGAGGAATAGGAGACGATCGAAATGATTTAAGAGACGAAAGCAATCGTCTCCTATATTTAGGAGACGATTCAGTAGGAGACATTCCAATTAGGAGACGAAAATTTCGAAATAGGAGATGATCCGAAAGATTTAGGAGACAATACCATACAGTTTACATGGGACACTTAGGAGACGATCCGTTGAGAATAGGAGACGATCCGTTGAAAATAGGAGACGTTTTAAGAGGAGACAAAAGATTTAGGAGACGATCCGTTTCGTCTCCTATTTTTAGGAGACGAAATCCATTACATAGGAGACGATCAAAAGGATTTAGGAGACGAAAAGTAGCACGACTCGAGTTTCCACAGAGGTCCTGTACCAAGCACTTTTCCAAAAAACCAATCTTTTTACCCGGAGGCGCCTGTACCGCTATAAGGATATTGTAGCCTGCTGCCTCTCCAACTCCCGTCTATGCAAACTCCTCAGAAGAGTCATCAAGATCGCGATCACTTGGAGATCCAAGTAGGTTGGGTCCTTGGATGGCCTTGCCACTCTTTCCGCCCAAGACGGATGTGCGAAAAATTCGACCTTTGGGTTTTGAAGCTTGGATAGAGCCACCAGACACAGTGCCATTCTCGGAAGAGGCTTGTAGCGAGGAACCAGAGAAACCCTCCAAAACTTTTCCAGCAGAAGTGAAGACATTGGAAAAGGCCAGCGCAGCCCTTTCCGCTGCTGTTCCGGCATGTAATGATGGAGATTTGTCTGGTATATTTCCATCCGTGCTTGAGCTGGGGTGCCATGTGGTGGCATCAATAGCATCCTGTCCTTCGAAGTCGGCAAAGCTTGCTGAAAATTCGTTTGAATCATTCTCGTCTTCATCGAGTTGGACTTGAACTTCCAACCCTCTCATAATTTGATTCCTCCCGATATCAGCTGGGTTTCGACGATTCGCACGAGTGCAGCGTGCAAGACGATCTGACTTTTTGGCTCTAGGCTTGGCACCTGTTGGACCAGTGTCGTCCCCGTGTTCGTGTCTTTGCTCGCCTTCTGTGTCACCTACTGAACGATATGATACGTCCACATCGCCTTCCTTTTCAACGCGTTTGGAAGCTACTCTATGCACTCCTCGTGCATGATGATCTTGTCTGCGTCTGTGCCTGTGGTCTCTGGTGGGACTTCGAGATGGACTACAACCTTCAGCATCCTGAGTGGCCTGGTCTCGCCTCGAGGGGCTTCGAGACATTCTGTTGGGGGATACCGAGCGCCCTTGACTGCGTGGCATGTTACCACGAGAAGGGGAACTTCGCATACCAGTAGAATCGGAAGTACCGTCATTAGAAGGGCTTCTTTGGGGTGGACGAGGGATGCGCTGCGGGGACAAGGAACGCCCTCTGTTGTTGCCGTTTGATGCAATTCTGGAAGAAGTTCTCGTATGGAGTCGTTTTGGCGTGGACGATGCAGTCAAAGCATCATGGTCACTGCTGGATGGCAACTGCCTAGATGATGTCAATATGCGACTTCGATCTCTGCTAGACTTCAAAGATATTGACCTTCCTGGGGCACATCTAACCTTCTCTTCCCTGCTCTTTCCAGTTTCTCCCTTGTCCAGCTGGCCGTGGGAGGAAGATCGGGAGCACCTCTCTGGTTTTGACAACGAGTCTCTGGCTCTGGTGGTGTTGGATGGAGTCCTTACAGCAGAAAAGTCATCTCTTCGTTTCGGAGACATTGCTCTCTTGCTCGTAACACGGTTGCCCAAGGATCTGAGTGATGTGCCACGGTTACTTCCCTTTTTCAGTTGTTCCTTTTCTTCCGTATTGTGTTCGTCCTTATCTGCTCTTGGCAGTTTGTTTCCATGATCACTACGCCTGCTGCCCAAAGAAGCTGTTCGGGTAGGTGAACATCTCTCTGGTTGCTCCACGCTGCCCAAATTTCCCTGTTTTTGAGTTGAGCGAATGGCGCAGGGAGCACTTGCCACACTACGACCAGAAGATACTAGTATCGCTTTTTGGTTGCTGCTGGTGGATGTTTCGAGCTTTCTTCCGAGCTCAGACAAGTCTTTGGGATCCCTGCGATGTCTTGGAGCAGCACCCGGGGACAAGGACGTGGTTCGCTTCAGACCGGATATTCGTTGCTTGGGACGGTGCTCACTTGCTGATGTTGCAGTTCGGCGCAGGGCACGTCCAGCTGGTGATAAGCCTCTCGTGCCATTTTCACCACCTGGTCTTCCTCCCATACGATCTGACCGGCGTGTACGCTGCCTGGGGTCACCAGCAACAGGTGTCACCCCTGGATTTGCTGCGGCATCGTCGTCATCAGCATGATCACGAGTATCTGTTTCTTCTCCCTTCCACCCTGTTGAATCACTACTACTAACATTGTTGGCGTTGCGATGCATCCGGGCTCGGATGGGCCCCTCATCAGTCATAAATCTTCGACATCCTAGAGACTTTGCAGATTTGTCCTCGGTTCGTGAAGTTTTTGCTGTTTCTTCTCCTTTTGGGTCTTCCTTTCGGTCATTCAGCAACCTTGGTCTAGTAGCATCCTTGTCTCCAAAATCAGCATAGAAACTGCGATCTCCAAAATTGGTCCAACTCTGGTCCAGTGGTTCTTCTCCTTGTTTTGCTTCATGCATCAAATTTTGATCGTCACCTTCGATCTTGCCCGACACTTCGAAGGGGTCCTGATCAAGATGAATCTTATCAGGGAACACCTCATCATTGTCCAAGTCAAATAAGCTTGTACCCCCATCAAGCTCGAAGTCAGATCGATCTCGAGAAGTCGGCAGCAGGATGTCGACACCGGTAGCCATGGTCTGATGCTGTCAACTGATAAAAAGTGGTGATTGCGACGAGATACGAACTGAGGTCGATGTGAAGGATGACATGGTGGGGAGTTCGACGTAAAAGTATGAACTAAAATAGAGGGGAATTACGCTACGAGGTAGATCTTCATTAGGGTTGAGGTTGATCTCGATGTGTCAACGCGATCACATCTCGCACTCCCTCATCAACCGAGAACCATCTCGAATAGTAGCGAATTCGTACTTGAACTGCATCTCGTCGTTTCGTTGTAACAATACTAGATGTAACATAGAATGGGGCCGGTTCCCCTTTTGTTGTCGTAGTCACTTTGCGAGCTCATTGTTGGGTCCAATGCGATGACGAGCGCTGATATGCTCTTTGAGCTCTTTGACGTCGTCAGCACTGATTCCAGGGTAGAACTCCTGGATTGCCTTGATGTAGAGGTGTACGGCAATCGCATCCACCGCGGGCGTGTGCCGGAAGTTGGCGAACTTGATGACACCACGCGAGAAGTGCTTCATAAGGGTAGCGTGGTCGACGTGCGCCCAGATGTCGCTCGGCTTGGAGTAGAGGTCGACCTTGTTCGCCTTCTTGACCTTTCTGTCAGAGATGATAGCGGGGCGCAGCTTCTCGAACTGTTCGAACGCGATCTTGGTTGGAACAGTAGAACGTGCTCCAATGTCGATCATGTCGTCGCCCTGCTTGAACAGCTTGACCAAGGCGTCAGGGTAATGCGAGTAGCACTCCACAGGAGCTGGCTTCTCGTCCTCAGAGTCCGACTTCTTGCGTTTGGCGGGAGTCACCGCACTGACTGCAGTGTCAACAGCCTCTTTGAACTCGTCGTTATCCATCTTGGTCTTGAAGAGGTGACCGACGGCGTCCATCAGACCACCGTTCTCCACGAACTCCTCAATGGCATTGTTGATGCCGGCCTCGATCATCTGATCGCACTCCGCTTTGGTGTAATAAGGGGTTGACTTCGACATGATATGCAAATGTGTAAATGTAGTTGCAGTTCGTAGTACTAGAACTTGTGAGTTCCACCACGAGTAGTGTGAATGTGCGACAATACCATTGTGTACTGATTAATCTAACGATCTAAGAGATGTAAAGTTTGTATTTCCAAATAAGTGAGCAGTTATTGATTATTTTCTAGAATAAGCCTGCTAATTGTAAAGCTGTAAAGCTGAATTGTAAGCTGTATCCTGTCGCACTCCCTTACAGCTGAAATGAAGCTGGAGCAAGAAACGATAGGAGAGAGTCCCCAGCAAAGTGCTGAGGTAAATTACCATCCCATGAGGAGCTTCCGAATGACAGCAAACTGTGGA